TTCAAAAGTACATAAAAATGTTTGCCAGCAGGGGTGTACATGAAGATTTATTAAATACACCTTGTGCGCCACCTAGGAACCAAATCTAGAACCCGACACTCGAAATTTTTGCTCTGTTACAATCGTACCCTGTTACAATTGACCCCACTCTCCCCTATTGATCTCCTATAAATTAATATTTCTAAAAAAATCTTACTACTGATAATCCTTTACATAGAAAATCCAGTCAGTTGCTAAGGATTTTAGACAGGGTGCGCAGCCAAATTATTCAACAAAAAATAAGCACTTTTCAAGCACTCAAAAAATATTTTTAAGCACTTCAAAAAATATCATAATTAGGCAGGGTTGAAAAGTTTCAGACAATTAACGGTTTTATCTTGTTTTAACCGTCATGTAAAAAAAAAAAAACCTTTTGGCATTGTTTTCGACAATTGTCAAAAATCATGAAATTTTGAATCATGTAAAACGAATGTTGTTTTCATACGCTACGGACTGACAATAGGCCGAAATAGATTGGGGTTGAATTAATTGTGAAAACGTTGAATAGAACAATATGAACTGTGTATTTTTGCATAATTCGAAGCGAAAATCAACATAGTAAAGAAAAATCTCATTTTGAAAAAGGGAAAATTAAGCGTTTTTTGAAAACAACCAATAAAAAAAAGCACCTTTAAGGGTTTTTAAAAAACAAAAATCGAAAATAAGCACCTTTAAGCACTTTTTAAAAACACTACGCACCCTGTTAGATAATCCCTATAAATAAAAAAGAGGTTACACACCACAAATACCAACTTATTTAAAACAATTTCTTTTACAGCTCCAAATCAAACATTCTTCATCGTTAAAGATTAAAAACAATGCAGGAAACAAAAGCGAATTGCATCCGCTGGCTAAAAGACATTCTTTTTCCCCTTTTGTTTCTGTATAAATTTATTGAACAGCATTATTATTTAACTTATCAAAGTGAACAGGATGAATTAAAATAAAAAAGAATGTCTCTCAGAGAATGTTAGAGTTAGATCCCAACAACAAATGCGTAGTTCTCATCAGAAACTTTGCAAGAGGAAATGAATAAAGATTGCCAAAGCAGAAAATCGGAAGCAATCAAGAGATAAAGGCAAGCAGTTCATAATTGAGTAAAGGATTCATAACATTATCCCTGGGAATTGGGATCTTTCCCTATTTATAATCATATTTTTACTTTCCCTTAAAGCAAGTTATTTTACGAATTTTCTAAGGTGTATAGCTTTGGATCAAGAGAATAAAATGTTTTATAATATTGCTTGTTATAAATGACAGAAGAGTTTTGTTTGCGGTGGATGCTGATATTGGGAATTGAGCATATGGATTCTTTGGTGAATTTAAAATATGTATTTTTAAGTGTGTGCTCTTAAAGCAAAGATATAAAATGGATTATACCATTAAAAAATATTGAAGAATTATGTGTGTTTCTTTTTCACACAGATAAGTAAACACTTATACCTAATAAAGAAAACGAAATTCGTGTATGTTGTAATGTCCTAGCCTTATTTTTTTCCACAAACCACCCGTTAGCAAATTGGAAAGAACTTGTAGTTTTAATATCTACAATTTGAACTTAACTGCTAACTAAAAGTAAATCTGTTAAAGTTTTTCATTTTCCTTGTATGCATTTATCTCAAGCTATCTAAGGGAATTTTCATCATTATTTTGGTTTTATTGTTCTTTTTTTTATACATAATCATAACTTTGCTTTTTTTAAAAAATAAATCATCTGAAACTAGGCAGTAATGTACCACTTTCTACAAATGATATATAAGTTTTAACCTCGACGAATGATATGGCACTTTGCGTTAATCCAATCTAAGTTATAGAATGAGTATCCTTAATTAAACTGACGGTTTTCAAACATTTATGACGGGAAAACATCTAAGACAGGATTAACAAAACCATTTTGGAAGAAAATTCATACGTTATAGCAAATTTTTCGAATTGTACTGTTAAATGCAGGGTATCTTAAATTAAACTGGTGATTTTCAATCATTTATGACAGGTAAACTGTCAAGAATAACAAAACAATTTAAGCATCAAATTTCTGTGATGCAGCATACTTTCGCCGTATCGCACTGCTATATTAACTTAAACTGACGGTTTTCATATACAAATACATATCAAATTTTCAGGAACAAGAAAAACATAGTTTGAATGTAGTGGGTACATATAAACATTCTGTTTCATTTATAAGCATAGATTTTACAAAGATTATACCTTTTTTTAAACACTCAATGAATACAAACTTTATTATTAACATATTTTATTTTATAACCGTCGTTTAACAGCCGACCCAAATTTGGATTTACGACTACCAATGTTCATCTCCGTAGCCTTGTAATTTTGAACCCAATTCAGAAGACAAGAGAACTCCTGAATCAAGTATTGAGAGAAATTTGACTTCATGGACGACTTTCTGGTGGAACTAACCCGCATTTGCGTTAAATGGAGAGGAAAACCACGGTTAGCTTGACGGCAAGGGTTCTCTAACCCCATTATTCGTCTACCACTCAGGATAATTTACGTAAGCACTATGGTCCGTGCAATCCGGTTGCGGAATTCGTATTGATCAGCTGTCGCTGGGATTCGAACCCGGTTCGCCTCATTGGAAGGCGAACGCTCCCTGAGCCCTCACGGCTCTTTTATTAATGTATATTATTAATTTAGCTAACTCAAGTGGACGACCAAAACGCTGTGCTTCTCTGATATTAAAATTTTAGTTTTTCAGCTTGGCATACCAGTCACGAACTATTATTGCAGGCTGTGACGCCCTCTTAAATACTCAGTTTAAATGTCTCGAGCAGCTTTTGAGTCAAGTTAATAATACAAAAAAATTCATAACACTTCCGGAAATGACACAGTACTTAAAAAAAAAACTCATTCATCAAAAGCATCTTATTAAAATTTCTTACTCTATTTACAACATGGGTAAAAATCAAAGAATAATAACTTTAAAAGTACAAAAATTTTGAAATAAAAGTTTTTAAACTCATTGACGTCTTTCAAAATGTTTCCAAAAAAAATTCCCCAAAGAACATCAGTATATGATCGGGACAACAATATATGTCACTTCAACGACGCTCTTCTTTAAATCAAGATTAATTACTGTCACATACTTTTAGACTTATTTTTTCAAGGCATTCTATTCTAATTTTCTTTCCCGCGAACTCTACTTCCTTATTCCTTTTAGAATTTTTTTTTTACTGCTTTTTGCCGAAATCATTAATCATAAATATGATGGAAGCAACAACAAAAAAAAGTTTTAAAATTCCGAAATTCAAAACTGTTGTTTTATTTGGAAGTACCAGTGTCTTTAAACAGAATTGATGTCGAATACTTAGCAAGAATCAATTTAAAGAATACGCCAGGCTTCCTACTCCTCAACTCCACTCGACTGTTTTTCCCTCACAGACAACTTCCTCTGGCTGGAGGATTCCTACCCATTTATGTTTTCGTTTCTTCATCATTTGGTATATAATCACCTATGACTTAGATTGTCGCCATCTTGCTGCAGATGGTCATGGCAGATCCTTTGCTAAATGATCCAAAAAATGGTAAAGACAAACTATGGGACCCAACATACCGAATTGCCCTACTTCTTTAATGATTTGGGTTTTTTTTCTTCCTTCTGTGACCAAAGAAAGTAGTGCAGATATTTCTAGATTTTTTGAGAAGCTTCGGGTTTCACTTAACAATTTTTGCATAAAAATAAAATATGGTGTCATAAAATGTATTTGAACTTTATTAATTTGAAAAGTAGCTACTTAACTTGAATGTGCAATATAATGAATCAGGGTTTTTTAACGTATGGGTTGAAGAAACATTGAATTAAAGTATTTCAGGATACTAAAGTTGAAGCAAGGAGTTAAGAGAATATTACTTAATTTTAAAAGAAGCTAATTCTCTTGAATGTGCAATGTAATGAATCAGGGTTTTTTAACGTATGGGTTGAAGAAACATTGAATAAAAGAATTTCAGGATACTGAAGTTGAAGCAAGGAGTTTAAAGAATATTGCTTAATTTAAAAAAAAGCTACTTAACTTGAATAAGCCATGTTATGAATCAGGGTTTTTTTAACGTGAGGGTTGAAGAAACATTGAATAAAAGTATTTCAGGCTTATAAAGCTGAAGCAAGGAGTTTATATTTAAAAAGCCAAGGAATTATTATTGTAAAGCCTTTTTTTGTATTTAAATAAAAAGGAAGTAAAAAAACAATGCAAAATTGTTACATGTTATTTTATTTTTTCGAAACTATTTTCCAATTAACTTTAGATATATCTTGAAATGAAGCAAATAACTGTAAACTTTACGATTTCAAAACATTTCTCACATTAAATTAAAACAATAAAAATAATTATAAAAAAAAATTTTCGTGGAATTATCCTTAGTTAAAATGCAGCAAACAGCTATAAAACTTAATTAAGTATAAAAACTCGCATTTGTATGCCAGATTTCCTAACTTAAAACATCATCTGCACTAGTTAATATACAAAACTCCTATAATCATTAAGATTTCACCTTAATACAAGAATGTCAAAAAAGAATACAGCTGCTTTTAAGAAGAATGAAAAAGACTTAAGGTATCCGAACACGTTCGGAGGATTTTTTTAAAAATATTAAGTTTCAGAACACTTTAATTATGTTNCTTAAACGGATTAGTTTCAAAATCATTTTTTCTTCATTATTTAATATTTTAGTACCAAAAAAGGCCACGTAAAAAGCATTTTTTGTGTAACAAAATGCTGTACAGCAATGTGTTTTAAACGGCACAATTATTTAAAACAAAGAAAAAATTAAAATATGTTGAATAATAAGGTTTTCTTATAATTAAATAATAAATAATTAGCTAAAACAAAATGTTTTCAAAAATCATAGATATTTCTGTATATTATCTGATAAGTGACATCCAATTTAGAAGACATTCTTTTTAGAGAATTAGAAATATTTTAATGCAATACATTGTTACTCACTGCTCATTATTCTTCTCCTCCTCATGATGAGTATGATGATGATGATGGCGAGAACAAAGAGAATAGCTATACTTCCGATAATCGCAGCAATCACCAGCACATTCTTATCACCAAATTCTGCATGCCAACCCGCTATTCCTGAAAATAGCCGAGAAAACGTTTTATTTAACGAAATAAACACATAATACGTAATAGAAAGTGTCATTTCGCTTTCCTTTAAATAAAAGAAATAAAACCGAGGCAAAAGAAAAGTTGTGTTTTCTTATTCTCATTTCTTTTTTAAAAACTTAGAAAAATTTTCAAACTGCTCGTACTTAGAAAATTCCTCATCTTGTTGGTACTTAGAAAATTTTTGATGTTGTTGGTACTTAGAAAGTTTCTTAAAATATTGCTACTTTGAATAATTACAAATTGTTTTGACTTATTGAAATGCATTAAAATTGTTTTGACATAGAAATACATTAAAATTGTTCTGACTTAGAAATACATTAAAATGGTTTTGACTTAGAAAAACATTAAAATGGTCTTGACTTAGAAATACATTAAAATGGTTTTGACTTAGAAATACATTAAAATGGTTTTGACTTAGAAGAATTTTCAAACTGTTTGTACTTAAAAAATTCCTGATCTTGTTGATACTTAGATTTTTCTGCAAATGTTTCTACTTTGAATAATTTCAAACCGTTTTGACTTAGAAAAACTTTCAAAGTGAAACTTACCCTAGCAGTAATTTTACCTTGGCCCCAGTTGGGTTCAAAATTGGCTCGATATGGGTCCTATTAGAACATGCACCGAGGGACCAATAATTGGAATGTCTAGATTTTTTAATATTGGTCCTGGAATGGCCTATATAGGGCCTACAGTGGCCAATATGGAACCTAGATTGGCTAAATAATGGATATAAAATATCGGGTGAATATGACAATTCTATATAGGACCGATATTTTTTGTAAAGTGGCTGTAAAATATCGGGTGAAACGGAAAATTCTATATAAAGTATCGGGTTAATCTGACAATTCTATATAGTACCGATAATGGTTGCAAAGTGGCTATAAAATATCGGGTTAATCTGACAGTTCTATATAGGACCGATATAGGATGTTAAGTGGCTGTAAAATATCTGGTGAATCGGAAAGTTCTATATAGGACCAATATCGGAAAAATAAAGGCTCTTTAAACTCTTACTGAGCCAAGATTCATGAATATTGGCCAAATAAGGACCCAAGTTGTTTTGATGCTAGGGTAACTAATTAGATGTGCACATTTCAAATTTTGAAACAGTGCAATTTAATTCTAATAATTTTTATTTATTTTTATAAAATTCAGGTTCACCCAAATTAAAATCTCACACTACCAATTTTATTTGTCTAGTAATAAATATAAAAAAATAAAAATATATCAGTTGTAGTATTTACTAAAAAATTGGTAAAAGTATGTTTTTTTTAAATGTTGTTTACTTTTAACGAGCGGAAAGTGTTGAAACCTTAGTACATGACTGAAAATAATACTAAGAAATAATTTAATGAACAAAGTGTGGCTTATCACTATACTCCTTAAATTTAAATACTGAAACTGTTATTAAATATAAGTTCTAAAGTTCTGATAATTCATTTTACAAAGATTAATATCTACACTTTAACGTTACCTAAGCAATTTTTGCTTTAAGCAGTTTGAAAAGAATGTAAAATATAATATTACAAATATAAAAAATAGAATATTACAACTACATATTTTTTTACCGTTCTATTAATTTATTTTAATTTTTAAATTAAAACTAAAATAAGTTTATAAAGTTCCCGAGCTAAAAGTAAAATGGAATATCTAAATTACAGTTTTTCAAATTTCAAAATTTTTTTTAAATATATTTGAGTATAGTTTTAAAATTAAAACAACATGCACACAAAAAAAATCATGGCGGAAAATGCACTCAAATTTCTAGCAACATCTATAATTTGTAGCAAATTTATGTCTAATTATAATGTCATATTAATTAGACATAAATCTCATCTGATTGTAGAAGAGATTCATATCTAGTTATAACTACAGTTCATGGCCAAATTATTCGACGCACTGTAAGATTCTATGTAAAATATTAGTTATCAGGTGATACTACACAGCTTTATTGTTTTTACGCGACTGAAACCGGTTTGCACTTGTTTACGTTAATGAATTAATTGGTTGAATTAAACGATATATAAAATAAATTCGACGACTGGATAAATTGGATTATATATTATATAAATATAGAATATTTATTACATCAGATATTATATTATTATATTGTAATAATTAGATCAAATTATTAGACGCACTGAAGTTTTTCAATAATAACATGTTTTGCAGGAGTTCATAGGCAATACTTTTATAATTAAACATACATGCAATGAGTTTTTATTCAGGAGATTTGTTATATATCTCCCGTTTGTATTTATTTTTAACGTATTGCATTACGATGTTAACGCATTGATACACGAATGTAAACAAGTGCAAACCGCATAAAAACAATAAAGCCTGTATAGTATCACCTGATAATTAAGATTTTACATAGATTCTTAAAGTGCGTCTAATAATTTGACCAAAGATTGTAATTTCTTTTCTTTAATAAAGAGTTAATAAAGTTATTGAAAAAAATATCCCGTATACAGCATCCAAAGTTGATAATAACATAAAGTAAATGTCTTTTATAGCCTGACTTACCAGGACCAGAAACCAATCGCTCGCAAGGATCTGACATGCCCACATCATTAATGGCCACACAAACATACATTCCATATCTCTCAGCGCTGTCCGGCAGTAGATAGACCTTGTAATCTTCAGGGGAAGCATCCAGATCATACTGATCTTCAATGTCCAGCGTCTCGTTGTCTTTACTCCAAGTGTAGTTGATCTTGTTGGGAAATCCGTCCGCTTTGCAAACCAATACAGGCTCTCCGGCATCGTTTGTCGTTTCACTAATGCTGCATTCGGGTTTGTCTAGTTTAAAGAAGAAGAAAAAAATACTTAGCATTTTTTTTCTTTGAATTCCTACGATTAGTTCACACTTTCTCTCTATATATTTTGTTCAAGTTTTCAATCGTTAATGAAATACTTTTTATCCATCAAATAAATATAAATATCAAATAAATTAATATAAATATCAAATAAATATTTCAAATCCATTTTTTTTAAACTTACAGTGTATGACACTTTCAATATGTTAATACAGTTTTTTCAAATATTAATTCATTCATTAAATAGGGATGAGCGAAAAACGAAATGGAATTTTCTGAATGCTTAAGTGTTAGACATTGCTTTAAATGCTAATACTATAAGCGATTCGGTTTTTCACATATTTTAAAGATAACATCAGTAATAATTTCTAACTTACAGCTCTATTTGGAGAAAAAAAATAATTTATTGCGTGCATTTATATATTTAATATTTTATGTTCACTGTGTCAGATAAATTCAAAACAGAATATTACGTGGTAGCGTCATGTGGTCCACGTCTCCAAATTGATACTTTTAGAGTTGTCTAATTCCACGCGCTTTTTTTCCCTATCTATATATATTTCTCTTACACGTTGACAAAAAAAGCCTCATTACTACTCCCGAATGGCAACGCTAGAAAATCGACCAATGATTGCCGCTAAAAATGTAGCACTTTTAAAAACAGAAACTGAAATAACCAGAGTGTAGAATATTATGTGCTTATGCGCATCGTACTTTTTGTTAAATAATTTATTTATTATATATCAGTTTGTAGATGTTAACGAGAAGAGTTTTGTGGTTGCTAGGGTGACTAATTAGAATGTGAATTGTTTTTTTGAGTGAGTGTGAGATTTGTTTTTCAAAACTGCGATGCTGTAATTTTATTGTTTAGTTAATAAATCTTCCTTTTATATTAAATGTGATAGTAGTTTCCTTAATTATTTGATTCGAAGTCCTTTGAGTTTTATTGGAGGTCAGTTTATTTCGTATTTTTTGACAAGAGAGAGCATTCTCACCAAATGAGATTTCTTCCGAAATTCAATGTTTTGTTTATGCAGGTTTTTCCATTGCAATTAACTTATTTCAATTTTTAATAGACTTAAATATAGCCAAAATTTTAACCTTTTTAAAGAGATATCAGTTTTAGAAATTTTATCTTAAGATTGCTTAGGTGCATTTGCAATGTACCTAAGTTAGTAGCGAGCGAAGCGAGCTTGGTTTGCGAAGCAAATCATATAAGATCGCGTAGCAATTTTCGGGGGTTAGCGAGTGTTAGAGAGCAGGGGCGCAGCCCACTAGTTCCTACTATTAGTTCACACTCTTCCTATATATATTTATGAATCTTTGTTCAAATTTTCACTCGTTAATAAAATACTTTTAATTTATCCATTCAAGTTCAAATATATATTTTTTAAACTAGTAGTTTATAACACTTGATGTTAATACAGTTTTTTCAAATATTAATTCATCAATTAAATTTGGTTAATTAATTTTGGTTTTATGTATGAGAAAAATTGTAATTATTCAATAAAACGTTACTAAAATTAAAAAATTTTCTGTTAATCTAAGTAGGCTTTAATTTTTTTTTAATATTACTTGTTTACTTGATGCTTTAGAAAATGCAAAACCATTCATTACTAATCAAATTCCTCATTATTTTATTTATGCATTTGAAATTGTTTTGTATAAACATAAGGAAACATTTATCTTTAAAGTAGAAATTTGCATGGTAACCTAAGCTAAATGGACGGTTTTCAAATATTAAAGCAAAAAAAAAATGCAAATATACGAGAGAAATTTACAAGACACCTTTCTCTATTTAAGATCCTGTTTCTAGTTCAAGAATTTTTCAACGAATAATAAGAGAGAAAAAATTAACATCAGAAGTCATCTATCGGAAAAGGTTTTAATCAACACCAGAGACTCGGAACAAAAATATTAATACCATGTGACATAAGTTTGCTGCAGGATTTTCTTTTTTAATTATGTTTTTAAAACTGACTATTATAATTTAAAACACCTTGTATGCATCTTATAGAAAATATATATTAGTTACCTTTTCTTTAAACACAGAACGAAATGCTGCAAATTCAAACATTTATATGCGGTCATATAAGTTTTACTTCGGTGATATCCCCTTCTTTTTTAATTGAAAATATATTTTTGAAATAGTTTGTAATTTAAAAGTTGAAACTTATTAAACACTTAAAATATAAACAGCAGTGGTCAATAATTCAGTTTTATTCAATAGAGAAGAAAGTTTAAATTTTCTATCCCAAACTCTTAACACTAAACTCGTTTTTCTGTAAATAGCGTTTTTTAAACGAACAAATGAAATTGTAGTTTTATTATTATTTAGTTTTATTATGGTTAAATTATGGAATTTTACAGCACTTGTTTTTATAAATAATATCTTTATTTGCAATGTATTGAATGTTTGTCTACGAATCAATTATATTTAAAAAAGCACAATTTTACAAAAGAAATTTTTTTTCAAATAATTTTTCTTAATAAATTTTTTTGTTTGTTAATAAATAGTTGTGAGTTTCTTTTAGCTGCTCTTTAAGGTTTTTTTATTACCTATGTAATAGCTTAAATTTTTACTTGGAGCATAAACAAAAATGCGAAAAACATATTTAACATTTCCAGTACATTTATACAAACAAAAAATCCCACAATTGAATATGATTTGAGCACTTGAGACATTTTAACGATAAATTTTACGAAAAAAATAAGACTTAAAAATACATTTATTTTAGATCACGAGCTGCCTAACTTTTTTGGTCATCGACCCCCCCCCCCCCCCNCCCCCCCCCAAATTTTTTTATTCTCTTATCAATCCCCCTTAACTATATAAATGAAAGAAAAAATACATGTTTCTCAAATGATTTTTTTTCTTTAGAGAAAATCAAATTTTTACAATAGACAATGCTGGATTATATATGCTGAATTATTAAGAAGGAATAGTTAAATTTCAATTATGTTTAATGATTTAGCACAATATGGAAACTATTTAAAACAACTTTCAAACAAGCTTAAGTTATTAAAAATTAATAGGATTATTAAATAATAATTCAGTGAATAGTAAATTATGATTATAAAATAATAATTTCAAAAATATAATTTTCTTTTTAGTTTACCAATCATTTTAACTGGTCTTTATTTTCATTTGATTGTATTTATGAGTTGTTATTCATTTAAACTAATTAATCAAAAAACAATTGTAACTTAAAATAGCTGTAAGATTTAATTTATATTTAAAATTTAATCTATTTCAGAAAAAAGGAGATGAATAATTATTAAAAAAAATATGCTGGAATGGTAAAAAAGTATTATCTTTTATTAAAAACTTCACTTATTATATTTTATTTCATAATAGTCTTTGAACAGCCGACCCGATTTCTGGGTTTACGACTACTAATGTTCAACTACGTAGCCTTGTAATTTTGAACCCTATCCTGAAGACAAGGGAACTCCTGGATCAAGTATTAGGAGCAATTTTGCCTTCGTGGAGGACTTTTTGATGAAACTAAACCGCCTTTGCGTTACAAGGATAGGAAGACCACAAAAACATCCCACGGTTAGCCTGACGACAAGGGGACTCCATTACATGATCCGTCTACCACTGATGATATATCACGTCAGCACTGTGGTCGGTGCAAGCCGGATGCGGAATTCTATCGACCAGTCATCGCTTGGATTCGAGCCCGGTTCTCTTCATGGGAAGGCGAACGCTTTGTAATTACAAATGGCATTCCCAACAAAAATTGCATATGTTGCATTGTTTTTGATAAATTTGTGATCGGTATTCATTCATCGGCAGCCTAGGTTGGAGTGACCACTAATTATACTTAATCGTCACCCAGGTACCGATATCGTTCAGTTTGCCTACCCCTGATTTCGACAGAAAAACATGATTAGACATATATTTAAATTAAAAGATGAATTTACAGTCCTGGGCCATATTATCAGACGCATTATAAGATTTTGTGCAAAATTATAATTATCAGGTTATACTATACAGCTGTACTGTTTTTACTCGGATGAAACCGGTTTGTACTTGTTGACGTTCCTGTATCAATGGGTTAATATTATAATAAAATACGTTAAAAATAAATGCAAGTAGAAAGTATATAAAAATCTCCTGTATAAAAACCCATTACATGTGTGTTTAAATATAAAAGTATTGCCTATAATGTCGTGCAAATCATGTGATTACTAAAAAACTACAGTGAGTCTAATAATTTGGTTTAATTATTATAATATACTAATATAATACCTGATATAATAAATATTCTATATTTATATAATATATTGTCTAATTTATCCTATCGTCGAATTTATATTATATATCGTATCGTATCGTTATATATCGTCGAATTTATGTTATATATCGTCTCATTTAACCAATTGATACACTAACGTAAACAAGTGCAAACCGGTTTCAGTCACATAAAAGCAATAAAGCTGTATAGTATCACCTGATAATTAAGATTTCACATAGAATCTTATAGTGCGTCTACTAATACGGCCATGGACTGTATGAAAATATGAGAACAACAGAAGGTTAAAATATTTAAGATAATTTTGAGCTCATTTTTATTCAACTAAAATGAAGTAAAACCACCCTTAATTTGAGAGCGGTCGCTGATTGGTGCAAACCACCCCCTTCAGTAATGAAATGAAAGTTAATTAACGAGACGCCATGGCACGAACTTAAATTGAGTTTTATTCATTTTTATTTGCCATCAAGTCTTTTGGGAGAAGAGTAATCTTTTTTTTTACAAAAAAAAAAGAGATTATAAGGCTTTTTGAACAAAAGACTTTTACTCGAGAAATGATTAGCCTAGGAGATTGAGAAAAACGAACTTTTTCAGTTTTTATAGTAATAAAAACCCATTTACTCTGGCAAAAATAATTCTACTGCTTTAGTTTTGAACGGTCTCATCATTTTAGTATCTTCAGAAACAGATTACGACATTTTAATGAGAATTAAATAGAGGT